TGCTGGCCTACATTTTAGAGCGAGATTGGCAAGGAGCAGGCTCCCAGTTTCTGGAACACGGAGTACATCCCAAAAAGAATGATTAAGCTGCAGTAGGATTTATGTGATGGTGCTGAGCTTTCCCTGGAGACATCAGATTTTATCTTAGTGATATGAAGTGCTTGCAGCTGCTGGCTTGGCCTGAAAGGAGGATCCATTCCTTTTCCCCATCTTGTCACCCGCTGCATGTTCCCCAGCAGCACTGGCTGCCTGCTTTCCATGTTGGAGTCTAGGCCTGCTCCTTCCTTTCTGTTCTGTTTGAATTCAAGTGAGATACCCTAAAACTTTACTCTTGGTTGGAGTGCGTGTTTTAATGACAATAATTATTTTCATTGGCCCAAGCCGAGTAAAAGCATTTACCCATAATTGACCTGGATTCTTTGTAATGCTGTAAATGAAATCTTGGACTGTTAATGCTTTCATCAGCAGTGAGTAATTTCATAGATTGAAAACCTCTTAAACTGCAGAATGATGATGTTGCTTCCAGAGAATTACTATAGGTGACTAAAGATTGAGTACATCTTTCCCTCCCCCACAAAAAAAACCCAACAAAAAAACCTTTCCTAAACCATAGGTAAAATTCCCTGCAGGAGCTGTAGGATAGTATATAATTACATCCAAGACACACTGAAATTCTCTGAGTCAAATTGCAGATTGTGTTTCTTGGTGCTATTACATTTGCATACTGATAAGAGTTTGTAGTAAGTGTTCTATATTGCACAAGTGCTGCTGTTTATTGCTTGGCTTAAATTATGTGGGGTTTATCATATAAATATAACTGATTCTCTGTAGAAAAAGGTCTAAAAGATTCTATTATCTACACATGATTTTGGAGGGTGTACTTTATTATCAATTGATATGCTTTTCATGAAATGGAATCTCTGGGCTCCAAGTACTTGACATCTCTGTGAAAATAGTCTGCCTGTTTCAGGAGGGCAGTGTCCTCAGCAAACATCAGGGAGTGATTTTATCTTTCAATTTAGTTGTATGCAGATTGATCCCGAGTCAAGAACTCTCTTGAGTCAGGATTTCATGGCTGGAGGCAGGTTTAGGACTTAAGGGTGGGTTGTGTGTGGTAGTAGTAGGAGGCTGTGTGCTGTCTTTGATAAATAAGTTTCTGACTTAGTGAAGTTGAATGCAACAGCCCTTAATAGAATTCTGTGGTTTATGAAAGTGATTTCCATCACGGTATTCCTATGACCATTAATTGTGTTTAACTGTGTGGTTACCTGCTTCTTTTGTCTGCTTTGGGAGTCATACTGTCAAGTTTTTATTTACTTAGGATAAAGGGCCATCTGTGCCTGTAGTCAGTGCCATCCAGGTCAGAATCAGAGCAGGAAAGGTACAGAGCTATCTGGTAGCTGAAGATGCTGCTGATCCTGTGGGTGAGTACACAAAATGTTCCAGAAAGATATGCCAGAGGCTCAAATTATGTAATGCCTCGAGCAGGAAGCCACCAAATTATGTGTGGAGCGTGTCAGCAGCAACAGACTGATGTCCCTGGCAAGGCTCCTCTCCAGGAAGGAGCTGGGCTTTCTCAGAAGCCTCACAGGAGAGTGAGCGATGTGGCAGCAAGGAACAGCCTGGCTGGTGGAAGGCAGGAGCTGGTGGGAGGCAGAGTGCTGACACCACATCACTCAGTGTGCTTTCCTGCCCCCAAGTGCAAGAATGACAGGGAATTTTTCAGGTTTTCCTTTTGCCTTGTGTGTTTGCCTCTTCTGTTGCTTTGTTTTTTTCTCCTTACTCCTAAATCCTGAAAAAAAAATACAAAGAAAGAAAGGACCTTTTTAGAAACTACACATCCGGATTAGGGATATACAGGCAACTCATGTCTGAAAAATGTTAACAGTTGTGTGTCTAAAATTAACTAATGAGCTATGGTTGAAGTTCCTTTTCAGCACAAAATGAGTGAAAGTTTGGTAGGTAATGATCATTTCAGTATATTGACAGACTAAAATTGTCATGTTTAAATTAAGACTCTAATGGTCTTTTCTAAATTGGGTACTTGTACTTTGCTTCTAATTAGAATGAGGCAAAAGGTCCTTATTGCAATTCTAAAGTTATACTCTGGGTAGCTGAAGGAGGTGATTATCTTAACCAAGTGTCCATCAATGGGAAAGTCATAGCCTTGCAGAAGAGTGTTCCTGTCAGGTCATTCTCTCTGAGCATTTCAGAGTGACAGGTGAAAAAGAACCTTGAATGATGGATCCCTGTAGATGAAAACTTGTTTTCTGTTTGAAAATAAAAATAAAATTAAAAAAAAATCTGTTGACAAGCCCAGAGTCTTGATGAAGGTCATCCATCCTTTTGAAGGATTATTATGATTTAGCTGGGTCTTTTTGCAAGAGTACATGCCCTCCTGGTAGGTTATAAGGGGGTTGAGTCATGAAGAGAGGGGAAACCCATGGGGGTGTGTTTAAGGTGACAGGAAAGGCCAGGTGATAAGTGAAGAAACACGTTGTGCTTTGCTGAACAGTAGTGAAGAAATGTGTGTTGTGACCAGAAGTAACACTGGGCACATCAGAATTTGATGCCTCTACAGCTGCCTTGGTGTTCAGGTGCAGCTGAAATCCTGTAATATCTGGTTAGGTGTTCAGGAAGCAAGGAACATCAAATCCAAGATCCTTTACAAAAAAACCCCCAGACATCAAGGTACTTAGGGCCAGTCTATTGGCTTTTTAAAAAACAACTTTCTTTTTCTTTCAAGCATGAGAAAAATGAAAATGGTGGGATTTTTATATTTTAGCCTTTACACCCAGCTGTGGAATGAAGAGCAAACCTGAGACTGCAGTCGCTGTCCATTCCTCCATCAGTTCTCCTGTTACTGGGAATTACAAACTGCTCAGTGTTTCTGTAAGTGAGGCTTCACTCTGGCTCTAAGTGTTTCCCTCAAAGAATTTACAGTCTTGCTGAAAGGGCCACTGGAGATTTTGGACACAAACAGGCTTCTGAAGAAATACTTAACTGGTGAAAAGAGATTTTTGGTATTTGCATAACTAAAAAGAAACTGATTTTCTTCATTAAATTTATGAGATTGTACTCATGTGTTTACATGGAACATGAGAAATTTCAGGGCCCAGTGGCAGTTCTGCCCAGAAAGCTGTAGATGATTAAAAGCAGTTGGGAAGCAGGTTCTGTTTCTGGTATGTGCATTAGGAATGGTGGGATGCTCCTGATTCCAGTGGAGCTGGGCTGCATCCGACACTGATGTAACCCTGTTGAAATCTGACCGCAATCTGCAAGAGAACAAAAATGTCTGAGGTGTATCTCTCCTTGCAGTCTAACAGAGTAATTTCTGTGCTTGAAAATATCCTTGTCATGTCTTTTTTCCCAGCACAGATGTGTTTTGAACAGGGAGTTTATTTTAGCATGAAGTTGGCTCTAGTTGACCCAGAAGAAAGTGTAAGGATGCTTTTGTGTGAAGCTGCGAAGTCCTGGAGACCCAGTGATATCTTGTCATGTAATTATGAGCTGCTGAGGTCAGTCTGAAAGTACACCAGCAAAATGAAAGAGTTTGAGGCATTAAAAAAAGAATTAAAAAAACCCAACAAACTGCAATCAGTGTGTAGTCTCTTACTAGAAGAGCGTGCTGTCAATATTTAATGAGAACAAAGTATGCAGCCATCATCCTCTCAGCATTGCTATTTATGATTTGGAACAACTTCTGTTTTAATAGACGTTTTTGGCAACTTTGGGAGGATTCAACAGAGGAGGAAACTATTTACTTTAACTGCCCTCATTGCTGTAATTGTGATTGCTGTGGTTCTCAGTCCCTCTGGTCTCATTCTCAGGGTGTTTTATGTACCATGAGTTCTCAAAGCAAATGCTAGACCCACAACATGCTCCGGCTTCCCTTGGCTGAGACACTTGTTTTCTACAATCTGTTTCTAATATTGAGATTTTTTTTTTTCTTTCTTTCTTTCTTTTTTTTTCTTTTTTTCTCGTTAAACCTCATAAAACTGAAGATTATCAGGTCAAATTTAATAATGCCTATGCACCCAGTGCATATTGAGATGTTCTCAACTTTAGGCTCCAATTTATTTTTTCTATAAAGGAAGAAAGATGAAGCTTGATGGAAGAGAGAAAACTACAGTTTCTGATCTAATGTGCAGGAGCTCTTGATAGAAATTAATTTGAAAAAGCAACAGTCAATTTCATATTATTTTCAATAATGCTGAAGACACTTGTTATTTTTTACAAAATATTGTCTCTTATAAAACATGGATTTCTAATCTGAATTTGGATTTGATTTCATTTTTGAGCACTCTTTTGTCATTTTCATTCTTGTTTGTGTAAACCTGCTGAGGGGCTGTTGTGTTTATGTCCATTTTAAGGTCTCACACCTGACAGATGGAAATCAATTGGGTTTGTGCATTTGAAAAAAAGAGGAGTAAAAAGTAACACCACCAAATCAGCCCTGCCCACCTGTGCTGCTCAGAGGTACAGAAGTGTTGGATGGCCCTGTGCTGCCCCTTCCCCTCCAAAGAATGGGAAAGACAGGAGATGTGCATGCTTTCATCCTTCCAAAGTGTTGGCAAAAGCAATGGAGGAAATACATTCTAGCACTAATAACAATGGCATAATTTACATTTTACCCAAAGCTGGAATGGTAGAGACCTGATTATTTGTCTCCAAATATTTTCCCTGCTCCTGACACTCTTCCATCCTTGGTCTCCATTGTGTTGCTTTTTAATTTTAAATTCTTGGAAGAATGGGTACCATGTGTTTGTGTGACCTGCAGCTATGATGCTTCTGCTTAAATAACAGGAGTTTCAAAATAAAATTAACTTCAAACAAAAACTTACTGAGCACTCAGTATTTGTTTGCTATAGTGTAAATATTCTGATCCATAAGGAGAAATTGTTTCTAGGGGGAAAAGAAGGTCTTTAAGTAGTTTACTGTGATTTTATTAGGTAATTAAATATGAATATGCACAATTAAAGTTTTTTTTTTTATTTAAGGGAAAGGAAGACATTTTCTACAATGTGAATTTCTACGGAACAATTTCTGATTTTCAAAAGGTATGCATTTTCTGTTCTTTCAGCATTTTAATTCTGTTTTTTACTAGATTATCTACTTCATGTTTAAAATATGGTTTACTGTTGCAATGCTGTACTGTTCATATCAGTAGAACGAAAAATGTGTTCTGAAAAAGCAGCAGTTGGGGTTCATGAGAGGAGAGAAGTTATTAGAAATTTAGGTCATAACTGCAAAGTCAGAGGATGCTGTGCTCTCCTGAAAACCAGATATCCTGACATTAAGGAAGTGTGTGTATGTGTGAGCTTGATCAGACACAGGCAGATGAGGGTATTCCAAGTTCTCAGAGGCCTTATCTGTTTGAAGTCTAACATCCTGGAAAGTATGGATGAGTAGAAATTGTTCTTTTGTGTGTCCCCCCTCAGGCCCAATAAACTCCAGTGATAACCATTCCTAAACAGCTGCAAAGTCAATTTAAGTTCTGGAGTCTCTGTGTTCCAGCAGATTCTTCTCACCTTATGTCTGTGGAGAACAAGTTTTTTACTTTTTTTAAGCACTCAGGGATGGGTCACTTGCATACCAATTTATGTTCTCTTCCTAGGCTGAGTGAAGTTTTATCCACCCCACTGGCATAAAGGATTCTTACCCTATTGGCTTCTGCTGTGTGAAAACTACTTTTCCTCTAGAAGCACCGAGCTGGCACAAAACTTCAATTGCTTTAGCAATCCAGGCCTTGAGCAGGCTCAAAAAGTTGTTGTGGCAAATGTTAGTTTCTGGCTAATCCTGACTGAGACCTCAAGCTTAGCTTAGCTAAGTTCTTTGATTCCTGTCCTACTGCACAGGCACAGAGCAGGGCACAGACCTCATGCACTACTCTTACTGAGATTTCTGGAAGTGATAATCATGAGATGATGCATTTGCTTTTTGCTGTTCATCTAAAACCACACCTAAATTCTTATGAGAATTCCCTGATGTCATCTGAAATGAAATCATGTGAGAAATCTCAGATGAGGATTCCAGTTGTTGATGGATTTGCTCTAAAGGGATCTTTAGTAGGAAAATTTCATTGCAGAAAAAGTCATTGACACCAAAAGATGTGGTTGTGGTGTTTATCTAGAATTGTAGAATTAGAAGTAATGGTACAAAGGCTGTAGGCAGTGCTCTACCTATCCTACCTTGGCCTTACAGACTTGTTTTCCTTGTTTTTCACTCCTGGATTGTTAGGTTATCCATGTAGCATATGCCACAAGCATTTGGGAATCTGTTGCACTGTGACCTGGTGTTCTGTCACAGTTGGTTTGTTTATTTGTAATTGATAAAAATAATTCTCTGTGGGCACAAGTACAGTTTAAAATAATTAAAAAAGAAAAAATAAGCCTACATTGCACAGAAATAGCTTTCTTGGAAAGTAGAAACTTCTGTAAATATCTTTGTAGAGCAATGGTCTGAAAATACAGATATAGCTGAGTTATCCAGGTGCAACAGCAGAAATCTTACTAGTAAGAGACTTAGAATGAATTCCCATTAATGGCAGAGCTATTGGTGCATTTGTTAAAATTAATAAAGGAATAGGAGATGAATGAGTTTAGCTAGAGTGTCTGTTACACTTCATGCTTTCAAAATAAGAGTAAATATTAGAGGGGAAAGCCCTTTTGGAGTTAGTGAAGGAGGATAGGGATGCTGATTTTCATTCTACACTGGATCCTCTCTTTAACCATTTAAACAGCATGAAGAGGGATATGCCATAGGCTTTACACAGCATCCTGAAAGTCAAAGACCTCAAAAACTTTGGGGAAAAAGGAACAGCAAATTTCAGAACTTCTGAATTTTTGCATCAAGTAAATATGAAGAGAACTTGGCTCAATAATAAAACAAAAGTAGCCCCAGGCGGTGACAATTTGTACAGCCAGTTTTAGGGTCTGTGAACAGCATGCTGCAGTTAATATTGGTTGCATTGAGGATGCCTGGGAGAGGTTTTCTGGGTAGAAGCCTGTTAAAATATCATACTGTTAAAGATTAAATGGGGCCATTCTGTGCTCTCCTGTGTTTCATTACAGTGTGATTCCAGGCAGTGTTTCTTCAGGAGATGAGGTCAGGCAGTGCATCCTTAAAGGTTTATTCTGTTTACATAGTGGTGGGTGGGAGGACAGGGCTGTGCAAATGGGAGATGGTGCCTTTATCATAACACATCATTTACCTGTAATCATGTTCCCCTTAGGAGAGCATTAGTCATGTTATTGAATAATCAGGAGCTGCAGGAACTTTGACCCCTCTCCTAGTCTGAAAGAGGTTGAGCTGAAGGGAAAAGGAGCCAAAGAAAGTCCTTTAAATAAACGAGGGTTTCCAGCACTGTTGAAAGGAGGGAGGGCTGAATCCCTGTTCAAGTATGTAGTGAAAAACTGGGCATGATGTTCACTGGGCATTCCTGATTGGAATAATAATTTAAAACGATGTACTGTCCATCACAGCTCACTGATTTTATTCATCAACACTTCAGAGCTGATTTTTTATGGAGGTGAAATAAGATCTCTGTGGTATATTTACAGAACTGCAGACTTTTTTTTTGGTGAAGGACAGAGTCTGAATATTTGGCACGTGCATTTTTGATTAAATTACCTGTGCTCCTGTGGGTACTTGTGTGTAACTGTATCTCTGAGTTGGGGAGCTAAGAGCAGCATTCCTTGGCCAAACCTTGATGAAGTTCTCTCTGTGTAATCTGCCTGCTGCAATCACAGAAATATTTTGCACTTGTTTTTCTTGTGCCAGGGTGGAACTCTCACACCTACTGAGCATGATTTAGGATGGATTTTAGTCCCAAAGTATTTGCTGCCTGGTCATTATAAGGGGCATGGTGACTGGTCCCAAATGTAAATAACAATTTATAGGGGAGATAATAAAGGGACTTGTTAGGGACCAAAGACCTTTGCTCAGATTGCTGTTGTCAAAATAAAGAGGTTTTCAATCTTAGCTTTAGACTTCTTCATGTCCCCGAAAACACAGCAATTAACGTATTTTGTGGGGGTATTTTCTACTTGAGCTGGATTTTGCATCCTTTTTAGCCATGAAACCCCCAACTGTTCTCTTAATCAAGTCCATTGAATCCTATAGCCTATCTGATTCTTTATGCATGTTATCTCTGTCTTCTGGAAACTGAGGTTTTTTAGGTCTGAAAACTTATCTGCTGTTCATAAGCAACATGCATAGCTTACTAAGGTGGGGTATACACTGAGTTTCCCTTCAGATGGCCAATGTTTTCTTTATAATAAAGTTCTCTTATTCTTAGCACATTTCTAGGTCAGGAATGCTTAAAATATCTTTGGTCATTAAAACTTGGAGTCAACAGTATAAAACAAAAATAGAGAGGCAAAAGAAAAATAAGTGAAGCTTACTGCATCCAGATGAAGTATTGTTTTCCAAATATTCCCTGCTGCTTGTGATCATGTTGTTGTCTTCGTGCTCTCCTTTGGAAAACTGTTCTGTTTAATTACAGCTAAATCCAGCTTTGTGCAGACATTTATGTGAGAGAAGTGAGCATGGAAGGGGCAGAAAATGTATATAGTGGTAAAAGTCTCAGCCTGAGAAAGATTGTTGGTTTAGAGAGGAGGCAGAGCTCTGGGAGCTAAAAAGCAAGTGATAACAAAAGCATACTGATAATTTATGGCAGTTGTGACTGTCTCAGTTTTCAGGTTCTCTGTAGTTTCATGTACATTTAAACTGGCAGCTGTGATAAAGAAAATAGAGGCTGGGAGTGAGAATGGAGACTCATTTTGTGTCTCTGGATGCTTGTTCACACCAAAAGCCTGTGTGAGGGGTGGATCAGGGACTGAGCTGGCCCAAAAGTAGACCTGAGAAAAAACATTCTAAAAAGTCATTTAAAAGGTCATTTAAAAGGTCATTTGCACCTTTCCATATTTAAGAGGGTCTTAAAGATGAAAATGCTTTTTAGTAGGGTCATGTGACAGGACAATGGCTTTGAACTGAAACTGGGTATATTTAGGTGAGACTTAAGGAAGGAATTTTTTACAGTGAGGATGGTGAAAAACTGGGACAGGTTTCCCAGTTAGACTGTGGGTGTCCCATCCCTGGAAACATTCAAGGTTAGGCTGGGTTGGTCTCTGAGCAACCTGGTCTAGTTGAAGATGTCTCTGCTCATTGAAGGATTAGATGACCATTTAAAGGCTCTTTCCAACCAAAAGTATTCCATAATTCTGTGTTTTTTTAAAAAAATATGAGTCAGTTTTTATTTTTTCTGCCAGAGCAAAAGTTAATGGTGAAAGAATGAGTGACTGGTGGACTTGTGGAGAGGATTCCAATGTTTACCATACTGCTGCCTCAAATTGGTCTGTGGTAGGTCTGTCTGAAACCATGCCTGAATCATCAGACATTCAAATGCAGAAAAAGGGAGGAAACAAACCTTGGCTCCTGTAAATTTTAATTGTTTATGATAAGAGTTGTCTTAGGCTGAGAAAGGTTGTTTTCTTTGTCTGTACATTTTTTGTAGTGACTGCCTTGTAAAACTGTCCCTGGAAAGATTTATCTCCCATTCCCCAGGAAGGAAAGAATATTTGCTGTTTTTTGAAAAGATTATATAAAGAACTAAGTCACAGTATTGTTTTATTCAAAATTTCTATTTCATCAATGTCTGAAGTTAAACCTTCTTCTTTTAAAATGTGTGAAGTCCTGTTATGGTATCCTAAAGTGCAAAGTATGGGAAGAACAGTCAGAAAACGAGAGACACAAAGTGGCACCGTGTACTGTTTGGCCTCAATAAAACCTGAAGGAAGTGAGGTTCTTATAAACCATTTTGTTCCTTGCAGGTTCAGCTCTCTAAGACATACTGGGGTTCTTTTTGGCTTCCCCTCTCCTCCTTTTCTTTTTTTTCTGGTTGTTTTCTTAGAGGATTGTATTGGATCCAGGAGCAAAGCAGAGCACAAGAGTCTGCTGTAATTATCCAGCAGGACTGTGTGTCTGGAAATGGAGACAGTGGAGTAGAGGGGAGTGGAAGAAAGGAACTTTTCCCTTTCTTGTTCCTCAGCCTACCCAAAGCTGGAGGGTAGTGGTGGCAGAGATGCTGAGTGACATTCCCACGTTCCCAAGGGACACCACTGCAGACAGATCAGTGGGGTTTTTGCCACTGACTTCAACTGAGGCCAATTACGAGAGAAATGGAGAGTGAAAGAATAAGCGGAATGATCTGAAAAGTATGGGGAGAGCTGCGAGATAAAGGAAGCAAGGTAGCAAAAGTGGGAAATGTCATAATAAAACTGTCAGATACAGGAAATACCTACGTGGTGGGAAAGAAAGCAAGAGGTCATGCACAGCTGAGTTTGGACAAAATGTTTTATTCATTTCTGACTCTCTTCTTCTGTTGAAACTATCTGCCAAGACCTACTATTGATACAGCAAGATTACTGGCCTGTTGGATGCTCTCTTTTAAACTGATGTGTCTTCTTATGTCACATGAATAGTGCATTCATCTTTAACCCTTACTGTTTTCTGGCAAAGCCAAAAAGGAAAATTACTAAATTATTGCCAAAAAATGCATTGTATTTTGAAGGGATTCTTCTTCCAGTATTTTCAACTACTTTAAACTGTAAAATTATGGAAAAATTCAGAGGGATGTTTGCTCTAACTGCTTTTGTGGTCTGCTACGGAGGAGCAATGTTTGGTTGAATGTAAAAAAATTAAATCTATAAACAGATACTAATCAAAGACAAAACTTCTCAGTATCTTCTGTCTTTCCCAGAGCTTTCTTTTGTTCTTCTGTCATGTGTTACCTGTTGTAATTTTGCTCTTCAAGGGAGTATTGCAGTAGAGAACAGGGTTTCTGTGTGTGTGTGTGCTCCACTGCAGCTGCCTACCCAAACAAATCCCTTTTGATCACAGTACCTGTAAAAACTGCAGGCTGACAAGGTGGCACGTGCTCTTCCACATCAGAATGATTTGTTGGAGGCAATGGAAATACCTGTGGCAAATCAAATTGATATTCAAAACTTCATTTATAATTGTGGTTATGATGATTTCCTCTTTCTCTGTGTACATATTTGGGATCTACTAAGTGTAAGTTTTCCAAGCTTGACAGGTTGCATAAGCCAGAAAAGTAGGAAATAACTCCCAAAAGAACTGCTGCCAGATCTCTGAAGCACGTATTGAGCTGTTTGATCTGAAACACAATGTGTAAGAGGTGCTGTGCCAAGTTGTGAAAGGTACAGTATGTGGAGTGATGAGACTGCTGTCTGGTTATTTTCTGTACCCAAAGGGGAAAGACAGACAAATAGGAAATGTTATTTATTGCTTAATGACACACATGCCACTTTTCAGTTGTTTGTATTTTAGCTGTTGTTTCTTCCTCTCAAAATTAATAAGACATGTTAAACGTTAGAATGAAAAGTAGCAAGCAAATCATAACTGCAATTTTTGCTCTTTGATCTGTACCAGACTGAGAATTCAGATAGTAAACATGACCATTATGAGATCTTTTGCAGTCTGGGTTAGCAGCTGGAGGACTTCTCTGGAACTGCTGTAGATACTACAAGTATTTCTTGTGTTGATGTACAAACTGCTTTTTCACCATCTGCAGCACCTCTTTCTTGGGCATTTGTAGATTTTTGTACACCTGGAAGACTTTGACCATTTATGCTTGGTCTGCAGTGGGTGTTTTTATAAATGACCTGATGATCAGATTCCTCCCTTACAAAAGAAGCAGCACTTCACTTAGCTTATTATATTAGATATCACATAAGTGTATCCAGCTCCTGGTTGTGAACATTTGGCCATACAAGGCTGTCTACAAGTTTTTTTGGGTCTGTCTGCCTGAAAGCTAATAGGATTCCTTTTTTTTTCTGCAGGCCTTTATGGTCTGCTTTTCTGTCTAGGAAAATAGTAAGCAACTAGCTAGATATTCTGAAAACTCCAACAAATAAATTTCTGTGGTTTAAAATTATTTTTCTTTTGGCCCTTTTCTATTTATCTTAATTGAGCAATTTGTTGCCTGGATTTTATAGAAGCTTTTTTTTCTTTTTAAGTTGTATGTAAACACAGTTGGTGAAATGGGCAGTTTACCCTTTTAAAATATTAAGCAGTTTGAGGCCATTTCCAGGTGTGTATTTTGAAGGAAATCAGAGGCTTTCCACTGTTCATCACTGATTTATCAGCATGGAGGCTCCTCTATTGTCACACATAATCTGGAATCCGTTTTTTCATTATTAATACTCCTCTTTTCTGTGTTAATTTGCACTGAATTTGCTGTGAAAGTGATGGTGTATTGGTGGCAGAGCAGTTGTCATGTCCTCTGCCCAGTAGGTGTGTTCAGCAGTTTTGGCTTGGCTGTGCTTTCCCTGTCCCTCCTTTTCCTGGCAGTTCACACGAGCTGGCAGCAGGTGACACAGGACAGCAGGTGACACAAGAGCAGGAGATGAGGCCACTGAAGCCACTGCCTGTTGTACTTGTGGCTGCAGCAGAAGGTGTTTTGTTTTTTTTTTTTTTTTTTTTCCTTTAAGAACATGAGGTTTGTTTCCTTATCTTGAGTATTTTTGCTAGCAATTGATGTGACTTGATATAAACAATGTGAATTCGAGTCAAGTGTTAAATGTTAAAACAGCTTCCCACATGTGTTGGTTTCCTGCCAGGGAAAGAAATACAGCAGAAATGCTGTATTTAACCACAAATCAAACGTTTATTATTGTTGAAAGAATGACCTGACAAGGATAGAGCTGGACTAAAATGTACAGGTTGTATTTCATGGAAGGGGAAAAACTTTATTAATATTTGAAGAATGGCTTTAATTAGTCTGACTGTTGGTAGGTGTGTTCATTTTCTCAATGTACATCTGATATAGCATTTTTCACCAACTTATAATTGGCAGTTTCCCATAGGAAATAATCATTATTGGTATTATAAAAGCACTTTGTATCTATCACATTTGGGAAATGAAAGTTTTGCAAAGGTCAGAATAAAGTGTGCCCCCAATTATGCTAATAACTCATACCACAAATGATCCACCACAAGGTTTAATAGCTTGGTAGTCCTCTTTAGATTTTCTGAGAACAGGAAGAATTAATATTACATTTTGACACTTTACAGAAAGGTGAAAAAAGTTCTCTTCCTTCTCTCTAGCTTTGGAAGTTTGTACCTGAACTCTCTTAGTTGCTTGAGGATCTTGAAAGTTGGGTGAGTTTCAGTTAGGATTTTTTTGGGTTTTTATTAAGAATTCATTTAAGAAGCATTTTGGTCTTCACACTGAAGTTTTGTTGGTTTTTTTTAATGATCCCATACTTGCATGATATGTAGCATGTTTTGATATTTAGAGTAGTCTATAAGTTTTATTCGGAATTTGACAATAATTCCAATAGACTGATTCTTTTCCTAGATTGCTGAAGTAATTTAAATTAATAACTTGGTAGGAAATATTAAAAGTTATTAAAAAACCCTCTTAAAAAAAAATTACTGCAAACTAAATTTTAATTTTCACCTGCCAAAAAAAGGGAAAGAAAATCCATAGTTTCCTATGAGGGCTATTGCATACCTGCATTCAACACCAAATATTGGAGTGACTAAACCATCCAGAGGTTTTCCAAATGTCACAACAAATCTCCAGGATATAATTAGTTAGAAATTATTGGATACTGAGTTTTCTTACTTGTGTAACATATCCACCAGAGAGATTTCCTTAGAACCAAGAGTCTGTGTTGCTTGAAATGGCTTTTTCTATTTGTCATTTTGAGGCTAAAACATTACTAAAAGACAACATGGAATGATTTACTCCTGAGAGTGATTATCTTAATACATCCACAGCTCCTGTGCATCTCTTGAGTTGTTAAAGAACCCATTAGGAGAGCAGTCTGAAAGCTAACATTTGCAAATGTCTGCAAATTGAATTATAAATGTCTCTGGTAAACAAAATGTTTGCTGCACTGTGTCAGTTCCACTTCGAGGTCTGGCTGTACCAGGTATGTGGGGTTTGTAAGATGCTTTGGGAAGATAGAAAAGGCAATGAAATAAAAGCTCAGTTGCACTCATCTCACAGGGTTTTTTAAGTGCAGAAACATTTTTCATTGCATTCTTCACTTGAAACTATTGTCCCTTTTCCAGTGAAGTGTTTTCTGTAAGCTTTACTTAAACAGAGATGCAGATGGTTTATGACTCCTTTTAGAGGAGCTGTAAATGAGGAATATTGACAAGCCTGGCACTGAAATAGGAGGCTGTTAGAAATTTGCTTACCCTGATTTTATGGGCTGCACTAGGAAAGCTGCTGCTTCTACTTTACTGGAGGTGTTGTTTTGCTGCTTGCAGCAATTAGGGCTATAGCAAGACTGCCTTCATAAAATATCTCTTACAGAAATGTTCCTTTAGGGCAATTTTTCAAGCAGCATTGCCAGCAAGGCCTTTCTTGCACAAACCTTTCTGTATTGAGTGTGTTCTGGTGCAGTTGACCACATGTGTAAATAAAGAGAAGGACAAGAGCAGGCTGTTGGTAGACTTTAAACTTCAGTCTTGGTTTTGTCCTTCTGGGAATAATGTTTTCTGTTTTGGCATTTCTCTATTTTTCCATTGTCAGCTGCAAGAAATACTTAATACTCAGTGCAAAGACTCTTTGTCTTGGCTGTTTTTTTATATTCAAGTTCTCTCCACAGGCAGATTACTCTTTTTCAGCTTAAACACCTCAGTTCATTGAGGGGACATTAATTCCAGTCAAGCTGTTTTTACCTAGAAGATTATTTCTATGCAAATGTTGTGAGGAAGTGACAAAGGCACATATGTCAAACCTACCTGGTGAAACTCATACACATGTGATTCCATCAAAGATTCTGTTTTTCATAACTTTCTCCAGACTTCATGGTACAGTCCAAAACATGTTTTCCAGAGCAAATCCTAAGTTTGGAGTATGGGGCATGCAACAGAAGGTAAAATTGAGGTCCAAAAGCAGTTTTATTCAGCATATGTAGTGAAGTACATGGCAGTATTTCTATTTGATTAGGTGTGCACTGCACTCCTTACCCAGCTATGGTTTCATTAAATGTTCAAAATGATGTGGATTTTATTCCATAGCTATGTGAACAATTAAATCCTCTGAATTTTTTCTGACTGTCCTAATTATTTTTTTTTCCATCTGAAGCTTTGCTAATGCAGGTCTCATCACTGCTCACTCTGCCAGAGAGTCAGGTATGTCTCCTGATGGTACTTGTGCTTTTAGACCAATGGGGACAAAGTGATCCAGTTTTTCCTTCCTTCCAGGTACAATTATGGGTCTCAATATAATAAAAATAAAATGATTGAATATCTACAGAGGTTCATATGGCATATTTTCCATTTATTTTAAGTTGGGAAGCTAAAATATCTTAATTGACAATCCCATAAGGTTTATTTTTTATGAGCTCTCTTTTCTCTCTGCGGTTTTACATTTTCAGGGTATTGCTAATTCTGTAAATTTAGCTATCAGTGTATTGTAATTTAAGGCCAAATCCTTCTCACAGTTGAAAGAAAAAATTGAATGGTTTTATTGGAGTAGAATCAGATTTAAGGGGCAGAGCCTGAATAGTTTTTAATTATTCTAATCCCTGGACAGCTTTTCAGCCAGGACACTTCACAGGCACTAATAACATTTTATACCAGTTGAGTTTCCCCCGATGTAAAATATAAAGATCATGAGTTTGCTGTATAGCCTGCTAACATCAGTGGGACCAGTTTTTCTAGTTGCATTAACAGGCTCTAAGAAAGAAGCAGTATAAATTTGTATTGTGGTGGTTTTGTGGAGTTTTTTTTTTACTTGTTGTTTTTCTTTTGATCTTTCTTTCCCATGGGTCACTTCAATTTATTAACTTAGTTGGTAACTGTTGATATGATCAGGTTTTTTTCACAAGGTCTAGCAGCTCCTGTGGCAGGTTGTGGTTGAAATGCTTTATTTTGGTGCTTGAGTGTCTCATGTTCATATCTCATACTGATGTAGGAAAGCAGAGCGTCAGGAAAGTGATGCTGGTCAATCACAGCAATTAATTTCTTCTTAACAAGTAGTTAATTCTTTAACCAGGCAAGTGTTGCCCTTGCCATTCCCACTCCAGTTGAACTGAGCAATTTCAAAAAGTGGCAAAGTTTTGTTTATCAATCAGCAAACAAATATGAATAGAGAAACTGTGGTAGGACACAGTACTGTGGTCATGGGTTGGGGGTTTGTGTGACTCTAACATGCCAAACTAATATTTCCATTTCTTGAAAGATATGAAGAAATGTGTCTCAGGATCTTACCTCGAATTTAGCATGGTTGCAGATAGTCTTGCTGTTCTCTTCTCCGTTTGGTATGAGAAGAAATTTTTATAATCTGCTTTTGTTTCAGAGAACCCTGAATTTGCTCTGTAGCAGAAAACACCAATAATTGTGAAAGCTGTTTTATATCCTCTTGTTAGGTGGCAAAGGAGATTTTTCCCTTTCCATGCATGTGCAGAAGGACAAAGAGAAGTTCCTTCCATGTGGCTTCTCTAACGAGTTCTAATACAAAGCTAAGCTTATTGAACCAAGCAAATCATGTGGTCACTTCTTTTTAACCCTATTCTGCTTTTAGCAAGGGGTACAAAAGTGAATAATTCATTTATTTGCTACTGTGACAACAGATGAAATTCCTGATCTTTTAACGTGAATGGGAGCATTGCTCTTCCAGTTTGGGATGCCAGCATTTCACCAGCTGTGCCTACTGGCTGCAGAAGTTAAAACTAATTAAAAGCTAATTCTAGATTACCACTGGACTGATGCTGGTGGAAGTAGTTCTTGGCCTTGTCATGGATAAAGTGCTTTTCATCACAAGTGGATTCTTCTCTCTGGTTTTTACTGACCACTGCTGCTACATGATGGTTGTTTAGCCCTTTTGCAGTGAGTTGCTTTCCCATACTGTATTAATTTGCTTTTTGAATTATGGGAGATGTTACAGGCCACTCCCAGGGAGCACTGAATTAAAGCATTCCTGCAGGATTGCTGGATGACAGGGTAGAGCAGTGTGTAGGTCAACATCTTTTGGAGTCGCTGGGGTAGATGTGTTGGACCACAACAGTCAGCCTTCAGAACTAAATTAAGGGCCAGCAAAACACAGAGTTCCTTCAAAAGTCCAAAACAACTATGTGTGTTTGAATAGGTTTTGTTTCTGGAGACATAAAAAGAGATCTTCCACACCCAGACAAGTACCAAAGATACAGCATTTGCCATGCCAGCTAAAGAGTGTGAAAGGGAAACCCTTGTATCTTATACCCCTTTATTTTGATTTTTGTGCTGATATTCAACTTACAAGTGGTTATGATAAAAAAATCTAACCATGGCATGTACCATTTTGTACAGAGGAAGGAAATACAGTTTTTAATTTTTTTTAACTGCTAATGATTAATGTTTCTTGAAAATAACTCAAACCAGGACACATCAAACCTAAAATGGAGAGCTTTGAATCTCTGAGTGGGTTGTCTCATGTTCAGCTCCTGTCTTGCAGTAGTTCCATGTATGTGTGAGTATGACAGGTAGAGAAGGGCTGAAAATGAAACTCATGCATCCTTATTGATGGAGGGAATAAATGCTGGTCTGCAAAGACTCTCTTTTATGTAGATCAGAGGAAGAAAGATGTAATGTGGTGTGTGTATATATGTATATATTTGTAAAAATGTGCTTGTGACCCATGATCTGTTTTTTTCCTCAAGTCCACAGTGTCTCAGATGTGCATCTGAGTTTTGTGTGTGGGTAAGGGCCCTAGGGGTTATTGTGATGCTCCTGCCATTTCCTTTGCCCTTTGTCTCTTTGCTGACAGATGCAAACATCTCTCTCTTCTTTCCTCAGTTTCCCCTTTCTTCTACAGCAGCATCAAAGAATAGGATGTGCTCTTTCCACAGAGACTCCTTGAATATTGTGAGGCTGAAGGATATTTAGTAGTCAAAGAGGAAGATCTGGGAAGTTTTACTTCAAATAATATTTGGCTAATATGGAAGAAAATGTGTAGTGCAGGCTGATCTAGTAGAAGGAGCTGTGGCAGGTCAGGTGTTAGCATAAAGGGAGTGTGGTTCAGTGGCTGATGGTTTCCACAGTATGTCAGTTGTTCCAAGGTATGATTTCTTAAAAGCTTCTTTTGGCAGCACTTAAAAGTTCCCCCTTATAATGCAGGAGAAGACAAAAGCCTCTTGGAGGCTGGCCATAAGGTTTGTTGT